TGAAGCCCAACTGGGTTTTTAATGAGGTAGAACAAGAAGAATTAATTGTTGAGAGTTATTGTGAATTGAACCCACTAATTAATTAAGTGTGATAAATTAGTTACCATATTGACGGAGATTTTCTCAAAAAAAGAGAGAAAAAAATAGCATCTCATCTCACGAGATTTGCATGTGAAGTTTAAATTTGTGTCGGTATAGTGTCTTACCTTAGTAAATGTTACTTCCTCAAATAACTGATGATGGAATTGAGTTAGAACACTAATTTTAATTCTTAGATATGTGAAAAAGAATTTCCCTTCAGCATATATTACAGTTCATTGAACAACTGAAAAGTATTAAACACCTAAATGAATTTAGACAAAATTTTAGTACTTCACTTACTAAAGTTGAGATACTATGCTATCTAGCTGGACATTTTTTATAAACAGTTTTAGAAATTTCATTTCTGGGCTGAGGTTAGTTGCTATAGAGCATATTATACTGGTTTAATTGTCATAAGTTTTCAAAATACAGTAATGGACTTTCAATTTCAAGGACTGCAATGAATTTCTCATGTTGAAAAGAGAGTAATTAATATGAGATTGTTTTGCATACTTGCACAGTTTGGCATATAGCGTGACAGTCTTCTAGAAAGATTCCTTGGCATAGACGTTATTGTGTTTCAACCTTGTGAAATTTCAGAAAACTAATATTGTAAACCAAATGATGATTTAATTACTCACTGCACAACAGAAATTCATGATTAATTATTACTCAAAGTCAACGATTTTGTTGTTAATAATACATGATTAATGGCTGTCTCACTTAACAAAATGATGAATGGCTACCAATTATCATGTTTTTCTTATAGTTGAGATCCTTGTGTTCTTCAAATTCATTAAATTGAGAACCATGGACTTGTGAATCCAAAATTTGCCATTTTTGCTATATTAGAGATTTATTTTTATGGTTACGGTTTAAATCCATGAATATGGTTCCTACCTTATTCTTTAGGTTATTTAATTTTAATGAATGCAACATAATATAGGAAAACTGTGGAACTGGAATTCACATGTTTTATTACTGAATTCTAGTTTAATAGAAGCTCACGAAATACAACTGTTACATCATATGACTTTTCTTAAAATTGTATAAGAAATCAAATTTTTTTCAACTATGCATAACCAAATGGTTGACATGCTGCCTAATACAATAGAAAGTTACCACATGAAAAGTTAGAACATATACCCCCAAAATGATTGCATGGTTGACATCTCTAAAAACGTTTACTTGGAACTTTATTGTAACTTACTGAGATCAGCAGCTTCTATTATAAGAAGAATAACCTCATATATTTAAACAAAACAAACCAAAAAGAGTAAAGATGGCCATAAGTCAAACCAAGGGAAAAACATTAGCATGATGAAGTCTACTTCAGGGAAAATAATCGAAAGCGTTTACAGGAATGCACCGAAGATGAACAAAAAAGAGAGACAAAAGATGGTAAGGGCCAGTGGCCCATAACTGATGCAGGGTGATCCCAATATTCAAGTACTAGTGACCATGAAAGAAAGGAGTTTTTATCTCTGGGCCCAAAGGTTTATCATGATTTATGTTTAAACTCAATTACTTTTCTTTGTATCTTTAGACCCAATCAACTTTCTGTATTTATCTTTAAACACAAATTCTCAAATATACTTCATACTTATATGGCCCCAGCTAAAACTTTTTTAAAAAATTTCAATTTTACCCCTCTATTTCTCTCATTTAATTCTCTCTCGCCTTCTTTGCTCCCGTAATTCATAAGGTTCAAATACTAAATTTTGGTAATGATTTATCAATTTTTTTGGTATTTTAAGTTATAAATTCTCCCAAATCCTCTACTCCTAACTTGCAACATAAATTTGCATAAACATTTGAGACAATTATAGAATTAATTTGTCATTTTCTTCATCACAATTTTTCACATGATCATTCATAATTCCTCATGATTGTTTATTTTAATTTCATAATTTTGATTTTAACTTCATATGCTAGAGAGAGTTTTGAGGCGATGTGGGGGATTTTACATCGTAAAAGTACAAATATAATATATTTTAACTATGAATTATACTATTTGGTTTAAAGACAAATATAATGTTGATTGGGTCCAAAGATGCGAAGAAAAGTAATTGAGTTTAAACATAAATCAGGGTAAAACTTTGGGTCTAAAGACAAAAACCCCTATAGGAGATATGATTGCTAGTCTATGTCGAACATAGACAGCCCACGTGAAATTTTCGAGATAGCCATTAGGCTTCGCGTATCTCTCTCCAGCAGTACAAAGTAGTAAATTACTCGAGAAACCTCCTTGATATTAAATGTTGGGAAATATGCAAATAGAGGGTCCTGTTTGAGTTAAAACATATAATATGTTAAATTATATTCTACTAAGCTCATTACTATTATGTGGCATGTTGAAGATGATAAATCAGAATTACTTATTACTATTCATCTACATGGGTCTATATATAAGAGTACATAACACATATGGGTAATAGGTTAATGAGCCTAAACCCGATAACCCAGTACTAATACTAGTGTGCTAATACCAACACTCCCCCTCAAGCTGGAGCATATATATCAATCATGCCTAGCTTGTTACATATAATGGAAAACACCTTAGGTGAGGTAGCTTT